CTCTAAAACTGATATACGCACTGACACCCCCTTATAAGTCAAACGCTTATTCCAGGAAGTAACAGCTTGTCCAGCAACTTTTTTTTTTTTTGCCCCACAGGCACCGATAAGGAGCAAACGCCAGCATGAAATGGTCCCAGATTAACATCTGGAGGGTCGGCTTCAGAGTGGAGGGACGAGATGAAAGCAAACTGGAATTCCACACGACGACCGTTGAACGATTCAACTAAGTTATGACGTAAATTTAAAAAAAAAACATTAAAAATCTCTGATAAGGCCATATAACTGATACTGACTCCCGCTCAGGGTCAAACCTGTTTGCAGATGATGTCATTTTGCTGACATCTTCAGACCATGACCTTCAGCGTATTATCTCTAAGTTTAAGGTCTGATGGTTTTTAACCCTAAAAAGGTGGAATGATCCCTTTAAGTCAAGGAGCTGAGAGTATCTGCTTTAAAGGGTCTGTGACATCATTGTTTTTGTAATAAACATGAAAGCATTTTTGGAAAGAGAACATTGATAACATGTTGCAAAGCAAATTTCACACCAATGAGATGAACGACTGTTGAGATATTTGCCTGCGAAGAAACAGGAAGTGATGTCAAAGGGGAATGTCTGCATGTAAACAGAACGTCGTTACAACAGCTGACAACAGAGACTGTAGAGAAGAATCTGATCTTTCTTTAAATTATTTTGAGTTTCTATCAAAGAGAGATGAAGAAGAGTTAAAGTTGAAATAATATTGTTTTAATAAGAGTTCCCCTTTGATGTCACTTCCTGTTTCACTTTGGCTGAGCCAAACCCAAAAGAAAATAGGCCAGTTGTGAGAAAAAATGTGTAAAAATCATGTTTTTTATGCCAATTTTCTTATAATAAAAGACATTTTCTTTGATTATTTTTGTATTTGAAGGATAGGCAAGGCATGTCAGGAACTTTAAGTGGAGGAGTTGAAGTGTCCAGGAGCGTATGTGTAGTCATGTTTTTCAGTTTTTAGATGTTGAATGATGCTGGCATTATTTTATGAAATCAACAATTGGGTCTAAATAAAGCAAAACACAAATTAAATCATAACTAAAACGTTACAAATCCTGCTGTAGTCAGAAGTTGTGGCGTAAAACCAGAGCAAACATTCAAATGATTTAAAAAAATATCATTAGTGCTTTGACCTCTGACCTTTTAACCCTTTATTTACCAAGCTACTTCTGACTGACACGATTCCTGAACTCTTTGAAATTAAATTTACGAGCCATTAAACACAACAGGAACACAAAAAATTTGTTTAACGAATTAGCTTGTTTGTCCTCACAGGAAAACAAAATCACAACAGCAAAAAGCTTAAATAGAAACTCTTCCAATTAATTTATTATTTTACCAAACAGCCCCATCCAACGTCTGAAACATTAATCCCTGGCAGCAGGGGGGAGGGGGGACTTTTCTGCCCCACTGGACTTCAGGTCTCAGCAGACAAAGAGTCACCTGCTCCACAGGAACCAAGTGGGAGGATAAAACTTCAGAAAATACTTCAGAATCAGGTACATCAGAGAGAAGGTGCTGAAGCCAGAGGCCTAAAATCTTTTTTTTCTACAAGATTTTATTTCATATTTTAGAATAAAACGACAAATAATCCCATAAAGAAACAAAAGGTCACATAAAAAGGCAAAAAGGATGCAGGAGGAGACAAATGGGACATATCAAGAAGCAAAAAAGACATATATGAGGATAAAATGTAGCATAAAGACAGGAAAGTGTAGACAAAACCAGCAAGCAGAATGCTTTTGAAGGATATGGAGGGATCTCTGAGGATTTTAGTAAATAAAGATAAAATATTTCAGAAGGTATAAAAGAAAAATAACAAAAAACAAAAGCCACATGCATAATGTCCTGAATGAGGTGAAATGTCTGAAAAGATGCTGTAGAAGTAAAAAATAAATAAAATAAAACAGAAAAACAGGTGGATCTGTTTAATTTTTCCTGTTAAAATCGAAAAC